AACTTTGGATTTTGAAGTAACAATACGTGTTTCCGTGTTGATCTGCACGAGCTGATAGTGTTCATGACCTATGACTATTCGAATTCTAGAATTTACCATTCACGTTTGTCTCTCTACTTCAGTAATACATCACAAATAATTACAAGGCTGACGCTATGCAATATGCCTTTTTTGATGACTGACCCGAACCTGATAGTTTGACCGTCGATTTCGACAATGTCTACCGTTCGGCTCCACAGCAAGGTGAGAGCAGGGACGGTGACTTGCCCGCGAATCAGTTTATATCTATCAGCTACTCTGGAATAATGGCATCATATTCACAAACTGCCAGCAGATAGTCAGTAGAAGTGAGGGATTCACTTATGCTGTCAGTATGGTGATTCATTCACTAAATGTGTCCTTCAAACCCGAGGTTGCAATCGCCTAACATGACATATCTTCAGTCAGCGGCCGACTGCTTTGTCATGTCTCTCAGTCCGACTGAATTTACTTTTTGTAGCGATGATGGGGATACGACCTCCCCCTCAGCTCCCTATTCATGCATTCCCTTATCTTCAATGTTGTCTGCTTGACTAAATTTGGAAGTCATCCCCTTCCACTAACTTGTGTTCTGTCTCTACGGCACAACTTCCGGTGTCGCCTGGTGAAATTGCACTGGGATGTATGGAGGCTAGAATAGACTAGATTCACCTGTTGACGTCAGTCTCAGGACTGATTAAAATGCGCCATTTAATTATCTTACGCTGACGACACGCAGTGCTTCATGATGTCAGTCGCAACGCAATTGCATCCACACCTACTGCAATATCACAAGCGTACGATGTTGCTGACTGTTCACCTGCTGGATGATGTCATATACTGCCTCGGGGAAACCGGTGACGTACATTTTAGAAACCGAAATCGTACATGAATACTTGTGTTTCCCATCCGAGTACGCAGGTATTGGTAGTAGCAGCAGCAGCTCCAATTTAATACTCCACAATCACCTTCGTTTAAGTGAAATCTCTGCCGTAACGCACTTTTCACGGAAACTAGTTTGAGGAGGGGATTTTGCTGCGTTGTTACTGTGAGATGGCTTAAGTTTATGGCTACATAGCAAATCAATTAGCAGCTCTCACTGAGACAGGGCTTAGTATTTCGCGAATTGGATTCACACCACTGGGTGTGAAAATGCGCACCTGAGCTAGCCTTCGCTGTTATGTGGAAAGCAATTTTGCAATTTTTCCTCATTCGCCTCAAGCCGAGACCTGAGCCGGTTTGCTGTACTTCGCATGGGCTCGCAAGGTGTACCTCAAGGCTAATATCCTCAAGGCTGAATTCCTCAGTTTCATAATCAAGTTGGTATATTTTTAAAATTCACTGTTTCTGGGCGTTGTCCCGCAGGCGTCTTACCAAAGTTAGTTTATTCTGCAGTGAAGTGTGTTGAGGGCTTTCGAACATTCAGATCATTCGTTCCAACTGTGGTCATTTACGGATGCAGCGGTATCTGACTGACCCCGTCTCCTCACCGGTCCTTAAGTTGATAGGATTGGACTCAATGATTGGCGCGACGTGAAGTCTGCGCCTAGGCGTGCCTTAACATCCCCCATGGGGACGCATCTTATGCTCGTAAGAGTGCCATGAAGACCACTATGCGGAGGAGTCAATGTGGCCTGACTTACCGTCCGAGGGGACTAACTTGGCTTGTCCGTCGGCAAAATTCCAATCCAGGACTCTTCGCATGACGTTATAGATTCAAGTGGGCTGGATTTATTACGGGTGAGTGAGTTCATTTGACGGGAGGATGGACTGCTAGTGTCGGTCTCACTCTCCGCATGCATACACGCACTTCGAGATCTCCTCTGTTACCTACTGGACTACATTTAGAAGGAATCTGTGAAGAAGCCATCCTCTCGCCCTTCTTTACTCACTCGGTCTGGGCCTGCGATATCCCTTTACTGTGGCACGTGCATACCCTCTGCTCAACTCCCGGTGTCAATTCATGGACTTGTGCTCTGGGATGTATGATTAAATTACACTGCTGGCATCAGTTCCGAGGCTGCCCGAAGCGCACCGACTAATTATCATGATGTCAGTAGCAGCAGCAGCGCAATTGCATCATTTAAGGTGATTCTGTCAATTCGCCTCTACTCCTGTAAGCTTGACGAAGGAGTTTACTGAGGAACACCTTCGAACCTACTCTGTTGTTTTTTCCTACGCCGATGCTGGAACAACAATATTTTATGCGATAGAAGCCGTCAATACAGTCTACTCTGAAACTTACTCTAGAAGCCCTCTTCCCATTCCAAGTAACTAATATTTTTCCAATAAAATTTTCTGGAATGGCTTTTTCCAGTGCATGCCGAAGGACTCTGTGTGCAGTGTTTTCTTCCACAGTCGACGATGGGAAACGTTTGCAGCTTGTTAATGTCTGACTCGAGCGATGTTGCGTTTGCTTACACCGATGCTGCAACAAAATCTCTCAGTTCTGAACGACTTCAAAAGGGGTGCATTTCAGACTTTCCATAGATGCCATTTCTGGCAAAATTTGAGATAGTGCTACATGACGCAGAATGTTGCAAAGCTCTCCTCAAGATTCCTGACGCCAACAAAGGGGAATATTATCGTATGGAGGACGCTCACCGATTGCGATGGCGTCAGCCAGTGTGTCATGATGTCAACAGAGACACCATCGGATCCACATCTAGCGTAATGTCCCATGTGTCACTTGGGGGGATTTTTTAAATGCGTCCGGATTTCTGTAAACTGGGCAAATTGGCGTACTAAGGAACTCCTACGAACTGACGCTGCTGATGCACCAGAGGAAGCCTTGCCTCAGATTTTTGATTTTTATGTTGAAGCAAAATTCTTCTCCACCAAACAGTGCTATTGGCAATTAAAGGTACCCCAGTGCTTTCGTCAATATCTGGCTATCTAGCGGAAAACTGTAGTGCAGAAATCGGAAGTAACGTCTCCATGCACTTCTGACTGGAATTTGTGGTCGCACTGAGTAGATGATACACTTGTTAACGTCAAATGAGTCAATTTGAAATACTCCAAAATGATCTTAACTTCATATTATCGGGGATTTCAATGCGATTTTGAAACGCCGGTTTGAGGATAACGCTCATTCGTAGATATCCTGGTATATAGAAGGACTGGTAGAACGTCGAAAACTACAGTGTACCGCAAAGACGTTTTCCGAGGCCATCCCACATTTTCAGATTACGCATTATTTACCTGCAACTTACGTAATTGAACTAAACCCCACTGATCCGATGAATACATTTATCAGAAGATAATAAATTGTCTTTTAGAATTCTTAGTCGCACATATTCGTATACATTCGCATACATTCGTAGATAATAGTCGAACTGAAAGGTTATTTCCAATGACACGGCCAAACCCAGCCTACTGGCGAATGTCCTCCTTTTGCGATAAATACATCCAAGCTCCTCACATTCTAGTCAACAGTGCTTCACATGCTGACAGACTAGAGGCCTTCAGAAACATTGCTTCCTCAGATGATACATTTGCTAACTTCATTTTTCCGGGATTGCTATCCGATTTCGAAACGGAGCTTTATGGGATAACTCCTATTCGTAGATGTCCTGGTATGTAGAAGGACTTCAGTGCACCGCAAAGACTTATTCCGAACTCACCTGAATTACCAGATTAAGTATCCGAATACCCGCAACTTACTAAATCGTGTCAAGCTCAATTGTTTCAATGAATGCATTCATCGGCAGATATAAATTCTCCTTTAGAATTCTTTGTTTGACGGGAGAATAAGAACTTAGGAAGACTGTGCTAAAGGGTCTGTGATTCCACTGTTATTCGAAATCATTTTGTGAATAAGGATGTTCTTTAACTTTGTGCATTGATACGTTCGCAGAGAACAGTTTAATAAGAATGTAATCTCCAACAATACAGCCAGACCCAACGGTTTGGCAAGTGTCCCATCATGCAAAAAACGTATCCCAGCTCGTCACAAGGTAGTCAACAGTGCATCACGTGCAGGCAGCGGATAAACCTTCAGCAACTTTGCATGTCCAGCTACTATGCCTTACGGACGGAGCTAGCTGTGTGGAGAAGAAGACCCAATCGCTGAAACAATTGGTTCATTCACGTGACCCTTCCGATTCGCACTCGAATGCATCATTAGAGACAGGATTATACAAGTGGTTGGGTACCTCGGGAGGAAAGAAGCAGTCTATGAATGTGCATGTGCCATTTGTGATGCAGTCTACTGTAGATAAACCGGAAAATTTACTATCAGCCATGTAGAGGAACACGCGTCAGCGATGATGAGACAATGCCACTTATTTCAATGAGGGGCACACCCGCTCGACAAAAAACCCAAATTTGCATGGGAGGAAGTTCGTATCTTAGACATCTACCCAGGGAGGAATGGCCGCGAGTTCCTAGATGCAATGCAGTCACACGAGACGTGCATCACTATACATACCGATTTCGATGACCATCAGCTGAGAAGGACGATGCCCATCCTGACCGGTTGGGCAAAAACAGCAGTCGCTACCCACTTACGTGAAAGGTGCCTGTCCTGTGCCTCTGGTGGCACATGTAGAATGGGTTTGTGTGTGTGTGTGATGTATGGACTGGTGGGTAGATGTGTGGTGACGCGTTTTCGTGTGAGCTGTATAAGCGCGTGTCTTCATGGAGGCCCATGCGATGGCTGATTGTGCATGGTCAGTGCGGGCAGTTGGGTGGGGGTGGGTTGTGGCGTTTAAACGTGTGGCATCCAGTCACTGATTACTCATCAGTCGATAACAATAACGACGAATTCAGAGGGCCAACCAGAGCTCAAAGTGTGCTTACGGACACGCAGTTCCGTCTTACCGCATCTCCTAAACTCCAATCGACTGCTTCGACAGACACACACTAATAGTGCTCCTTGAAAAGCAGCAGACAGGTCTTGGCACAAAATGCATATTTATTCCAACAATGGTAATATAAACAGAAATGGCGTGATTGTCAAACGGGTCATCACGAAGAATCTGTTACACTTCCTCCTCCCAATTTGTTCGTCGGATGCGTTCAGACTTGGAGGCCGCTCTCTCCTTGGCCATGTACACTGCAAATGGAAAGAGAACATGCGCAGGTAGTTTATTAAGTCAACACTAGCAAATTCATCTAAAGGCATAAATTGTCTATCCCCTACCCCTGCTTCTAACAAACCCCGCTATGTCAAAACAGAATAAAGCATGCCAAGTGAAACGCAGACACACAAACTTACTCTCATATTTTGTCGGAAGTCGTACGCAGCGACTCCCATCGCAGACATATTTCTGTCCATTGAGAATGGGGAAGGTGAGACCCGGTATCTGACGGAGACGAGGATCATCATATTGTGGTCTAGCCATGACTTGTTTGAGAGGTGTGGTTTAAGTGAATACCCTCCTCGTCAGATGGATTGTTGTTGTCGTCTCCACACCGCCGCCCGCGCCCTCACCGCACTGCACTGAGGAGGGCTGCGTACTTTCGTCACGTGTTGAGTTAAGGACGTGAACCTGTTTAGCGCACCATTCAGACTGCAGCATGCCTGGGAATGCGGAGTCGGATGGTGTTTTGTTTGTTGAAGGCAGCGCCGATTTTGCAAGCAGAAGTTCTAATGAGGCGCATAGAGTGGGTGTTTGATTTTAAAGTCCATCTGAAATTCCTCAATGCATTATGGTTGCGACACTACATGGCGGAATTATATGCCACGGGTGAAGTAGATTAGGGAAGAATGGAATGTGGATTTAAGTGTCAGGTGATGGGTCGTTCCATCGGATTCAGTTTGTATGCCGCATACAGTCTTACTCGATCAGGACTTCCTTAATCTGTAGCCTTGGTTTGCCTGATTCCCGGCCTCCGACCTTTTGCAATTCACGCCTTTCGAAATGCGCCATCCATCCCGTCACTCCGTTGAATATGGATGTTCTTTAACGTTGTGCACTGATACGTTCGTAGGAAAATAGTCGAAGGGAAAAGATATTTCCAACGACACGGTCAAGCCCAACGGGCTAGTGAATGACCCCTTTTGCGAAAAATGCATCCAACCTCGTCACATGGTAGTCAAATGTGCTTCACGTGCAGACAGCGTAGAGACCATTTGCAACATTCGCTCGCCAATCAGTGCTGTCAGGAATTAGAGGCGCCCCAGTGGTTTCATTAATATCTGTCTGTTTAGAGGATCTGTAGTGCAGGAATTCGAAATTACGCCTTCACGCAGGTTGAACTCGGATTTCTCTTCGCACTGATTAGATGATACGTTTGTTAACTTCATTTTTCCGGGATTGTAATTCATCTTCGAAACGGCGATTTATGGGGTAACTTCTATTCGCTGATGCCCTGGTATGTGGAAGGACCTCGGTGCACCGCAAAGGTTTATTCCGATATCACCTGAATTAGCAGATTAAGTGCCCTCATACCCAAAACCTACTAAACCGTGCAAAACTCAATTGTTTCGATGACTGAATTTATCAGAAGATAATAAATTGTCCTTTAAAATTCTTGGTTGGACGATAGAATAAGAATCCAGGAAGACTGTGCTAAAGGATCTGCGATTCCCCGGTTTTTCTTACTTCTTTTCTGACTAGGGATGTTCTTTAATCTTGTGCACTGATATCTCCGTAGAGAACAGCCGAACTAAAAATTTATCTCCATCGACATGGCCAAACTCAACGGACCGGCGAGTGTTCCATTGTGCAGAAAATTCATCCAAACTCGTCACAAGGTAGTCAACTATGCATCACGTACAGGCAGCGTACAGACCTCCACTGCACCGATGAATTCTTGGTTGGACATGGGAATGAGCGCCCCCTCAAGCAATACGGTGGCTTTGGGTTAAATCCCAGGAAGATTGAGGGTTGGACAACGTCTAGAATTTTGGTTAGTATTAATTTCATGGTGATGAGTAAGGCATATGCTACGGGTACTATTTTGCTTGAGACTAGGACTCGGGAAGCGGTATCCGATTCTCTGATTTTACCTAATTATATTTTGAATATAGATATTCTTTAACCTTGCGCATTGATACATTCGTAGAGAACAGTTAAAGGAAAAAGTAATCTCCAACAACACAGTCGAACCCAACGGACTGGCAAGTATTCCGTTATGCAGAAAATGCATACAAGCTCGTCTCAAGGTAGTCAAGGATGCATCACGTGCAGGCAGTGTAGAGACCGTCAGCAACTTTGCGTGACCAGCTAGTATACCTTACGGACGGGTTTGATTGTGTGAAAAGCAGACATATCCGCAGAAACCACTGGTTCACTCACGTTATCCTTAGGGTTCACACTCGAATCTATCACTGGAGCCGTGATTACAGTCTGCTTGACAGAGAATCTATCACTGGAGCCGTGATTACAGTCTGCTTGACAGAGAATCCAAATTTGCATGGGAGGACGTTCATATCGTAGACATCTACTCCGAGAGGAATGGCCGCGAGTTCCTATATGCAATGCAGTCACACGAGACGTGCATCACTATACATACCGATTTCGATGACCATCAGCTGAGAAGGACGATGCCCATCCTGACCGGTTGGGCAAAAACAGCAGTCGCTACCCACTTACGTGAAAGGTGTCTGTCCTGTGCCCCTGGTGGAAGATGTAGAATTGTTTTGTGTGTGTGTGTGTGTGTGTGTGATGTATGTGCCCTCTAAACGGGCCACGTGTTAGATGCGCTGGACCAAAATGGGGGCCATATCGGAGTCTGGCAGGCGTTATCTGTGCGTAATAACAAATGCCAACATTTGCGGTGTGCGCTGGCGGACCCTGTTGTCGGCATTCGTCGCACAACTGGACCACCGCCGCCACCCCATTGTTTTGTGGTCAAAATCCTGGTCAGTTGTGTGGGGGGGAGGAGAGAGTGTAGGTAGATGCAGCGCAAGTCTACCGGCACTATAAACCCCTGCGCAAGTCACCGTCCCTGCTCCCACAATGCAGTCTGTGGGGCGCACGGTGAACATCGTCGAAATCGACGGTCGAACTGTCGTGTGTGATGTATGGACTGGTGGGTAGATGTGTGGTTACGCGTTTTGGTCTGAGGTGTCTAAGGACGTGTCATCATGGAGGCCCATGCAATGGCCGAATGTGCGTGGGTAGTGCGGGCAGTTGGGTGGGGGTGGGGTGTGGCAGGTATACGTGTGGTTTCTAGTCACTGGCTAATAATAAGATAAGCGATTGCTGCAACAGGGGCTCTATTCGCCCGAAGTTTCGGATTCTCACTTGAATCCATCATCAGAGACAGTGGCAGAAACGGGTGATTCGTGCACAAGAGGTTGCAGTATTTTCAGGATGCAGTCGCAATGCTACCGCATACCTGTAGTAATTAACTGTCCGCCCTCTCATCAAGAATTGTGGCCGCTGGTGCGCTAATCGCTTCATTGTCGGCATGACAGTTCTTAAGTGCTGAAATCTCATCACCCCTGTTGGATGCTGGCGTGATGATTGCTCGGCCATCGTGGACAGCGGTTGATGATGTCCACCCGAGAGCTCGCATGCATAGGAGGCTCACAACAGACACTGACCGGGGTTTCGTACCACAGCACTAAAATAGGAAGGTGACACGGATGCCGGTTGGCGCGGCATGAGCCGGCACATGGGTATGCCACCAAACTCCTCAGTGCTGGAATTTGTTACGGGTGCGAATCCTCGATAACACCTGCCGGGCTCCGATCAAGTCCCGTGCTGGTTTAGCTTATCCACCGACACGAACCTACGGCGTGCAGCACAGCAATGCTGTCTAATGTCCACCTATTTGATGCTAAAAAGTCCCCTCGTGTTTGTCATTCCCCTAGCATCTGGATGGTGCCTTCAATTGCGCTGGTCAGATGGAAATTGCGCGCAGACAAGTTCAAGTTAGGATTGTGGTGTGATGTGGTGTTTCCAGATTTATTTGCGCGAGCTGATAGTGTTCATGACCGATGACTGGCGGAATCCTAGAGTTTATTATTCCGGTTTCGTCACTTTTATTTGGTAATACATACCGACAAAACAATTCAAATTTTTTTGTGCAATCCTGCTTCTATGTAACGATATGAAGGCGAGCAAAGCAGCCAATTAACCCGCAGAGGGAGTTTCCGAAAACGCAGACTGCTCGTTCACGTCGACCAGGCCTCCCGAGATCACCTACACTTTGCGACCTCCTAGCACGACATATCTTCAGTCAACTGCCGACTGCTTCGCCATATCCCTCGGATCTAACGAATACACTTTTCGGTACCATAACGAGGAGTAAATCCTTCAGAACAACCCTCTTAAAACTATGTCCGAAAGGTAACACACTGATCTGAGCCGAAATTCGTCAGCTACTCTGGAATAATGGTATCATATTCACAAACTGCTGGCAGATAGTCAGTAGAAGTGAGCGATCCACTTGTGCTGTCGGTATGGTGATTCATTCACTAAATGTGTCCTTCAAACCCGAGGTCTCGGGAAGCACAAATTACTACTCGCTTTTATCAGGCCTTCTGAACATACACCTCCATTTTGCGATCCCATAACATGACACATCTGCAGTCAGCTGCCGATCGTTTTGTCCTGTCTTTCAGTCCGACTGAATTTGCTTATTGGAACGATGATGGGGATACGACCTCCCCTCAGCTCCCTATTCATGCATTCCCTCGACTTCAATGTTGTCTGCTTGACTAAATTTAGAAGTCATCCCCTTCCACTAATTTGCGTTCTGACTCTACTGCTCAACTTCCGGTGTCACCTGGTGAACTTGAACTGGGAGGTATGGAGGCTAGAATAGACTAGATTCACCTGTTGACGTCAGTCTCAGGACTGATTAAAATGCGTCAATTAATTATCTTACGCTGACGACACGCAGTGCTTCATGATGTCAGTCGCAACGCAATTGCATCCACACCTACCACAATATCACAAGCGTACGATGTTGCTGAATGCTTACCTGCTGGATGATGTCATATACTGCCTCGGGGGAAAACGGTGACGTACATTTTGGAAGCCGAAATCGTACATGAATACTTGTGTTTCCCATCCGAGTACGCAGGTATTGGTAGTAGCAGCAGCAGCTCCAATTTAATACTCCACAATCACCTTCGTTTAAGTAAAATCTCTGCCGTAACGCACGTTTCACGGAAACTACTTTGAGGAGGGGATTTTGCTGCGTTGTTACTGTGAGATGGCTTAAGTTTATGGCTACATAGCAAATCAATTAGCAGCTCTCACTGAGAAAGGGCTTAGTAATTCGCGAATTGGATTCACACCACTGGGTGTGAAAATGCGCACCTGAGCTAGCCTACGCTGTTCTGTGGAATATAATTTTCCAATTCTGCCTCATTCGCCACAAGCCGAGATCTGAGCCGGTTTGCTGTACTTCGCATGGGCCTGCAAGGTGTACTGTAAGGCTA